GAAGTAAAATATCTTGTACAGACAGACAGACAAGTAACATACATAACATACTCACCTAGGAAGTAAAATATCTTGTACAAACAGACAAACAAGTAACATACATAACATACTCACCTAGGAAGTAAAATATCTTGTACAGACAGACAGACAAGTAACATACATAACATACTCACCTAGGAAGTAAAATATCTTGTACAGACAGACAGACAAGTAACATACATAACATACTCACCTAGGAAGTAAAATAGCTTGTAGAAACAGACAAACAAGTAACATACATAACATACTCACATAGGAAGTAACATATCTTGTACAAACAGACAAACAAGTAACATACATAACATACTCACCAAGGAAGTAAAATATCTTGTACAAACAGACAAACAAACAAGCAGCAGTACAACTTGCTGGCAAGAAACTGGAGGTTGTGGACAAAGCTGGGGTAAAGCTCTGACAAAAAAACCTATATCGAGACTTCCCGGAGCAAGCAAACATGTTCAAAAAATTATCATCATGCCACTTTTTATTACATAATCCCAGTCATCACTAAGTAAAGATTGATATGGATTTTGTTTTGTTTCACTGTGTAATTTTAAAAGTCATATTTTTGAATTCTTTGCTTATTCTGCAAAGAAGACAAACTTTATTATATTTTGTGATTCAGAGATGTTTCTGTCTGTTTAGGAGTGGTTATGTTAGGATATCTACTCTACTGAAAGTCACTGCTACAGAGACAGGTTAATTGCCTGTAGCAAACTACATTATAACAATGGTTGGTTACTAGGCAACTACACAACAGCCTGTTACTCAAGAAACATACACATAACCAAGTCCATACCTTAGCTTCTCTTATGTATTTTCCACCTAGGGTATTGGCATTTTCAATTTCAGGTTTTCTCTGAGCTAAAGCATTATACAGGTCCTGTAAAATGAAAAAAATTCACATTAATTTTAACAGTCCTGGCTCTAGTGTGGAGGGGGGAGGATATGAATCACATAATGGGGCCAAATTTAAAATCAATCTAACTTTACATTAATTGATGACATTAGCTTGAAGTGTGTGTGAGTGGGGCATCAACATTTCAGAAGCAGGCCTAGCTACACAAACACCTAATTAGCTCCAACACTGCAATGATTCATTAGCAAAAACTGAATATTTGGATTATTCAGTTATCAACTAAATCAAAAATGTTTACCATAACATACATCCTAGCCACTACTGTATTCTTAATACCAATAAAACAAATAATCCACTCACTGCTCTACTGTTTATACAGTAAAACTTTCCAGCTGTCATCCATGCTTGTCTGGGTATTAATTTTAATCTTACCTACAGTGTATCTTCAACTCACAACAGATGGTTGAGTTTTGATCCATGTTTGGCTGGGTATTAGCTTTAGTCTTACCTACAGTGTATCTTCAACTCACAACAGATGGTTGAGTTTTGATCCATGTTTGGCTGGGTATTAGCTTTAGTCTTACCTACAGTTGTATTGGTACATTTCATAATTAATGTTAATCTTATTATTGTAGGTTCTGCTAATCAGAAAAAGATTAACTTTGATCCATGCATGCAACAGATTAATATTAACACCATTTTTAATTCTTACCAGAGCAGGTTGAATTTTGACTTCTGCCTGCTTGGGTGGTGTATATTTAACTGACTTAAGATTGTTGACCTTCTGGGTCATCTCCTCAATCCATGGTTGTTCTTCCTTTTCGATTTTCTTCTTGTAGTTTTTCAACATTGATGCTGCATTTTCACAACTCTTTAATCTGAAAAATTGTCATAACATGCTATTAGTTTTCAGTGGTATAGCTCTACAATTAAATATTATATTAAAATATCATCCATTTGTGTTGCCTTAGAACTTAAATGTCATTACAACATTGCAAGCCTATTAGTATCAAATGTAAGATACTAGTAACAAGTGAACTTACGCATACAAAATATTCATTATCACATAAGTTATACTTTTAAACTTTTATTTCATCATTAAACCATATGGTTCACACTGTACAAGTATTTACTGCTATTAATTGAACTCTGTCTAACTGAACAAAGGTATATCAAAAAAGAAGAACTTAACAATGAGATTGTCTGCAGTCCCGAAACACAATAAACTATCTTGTTTTACTTAATAATTTACTGTATATAGATAAATAACCTTGATTGTCATTTTTTTATGTACACAAGTGTTCTATATATAAGGCAGTAGTATATCAAGTATCAGAAAACAGACTTTCATGTTTGAAATAGAAAAAAACTAAAACTGCAGTATTAATTTTTGTTTCCCCCACCCTTCTCACAACCTACCTGTCCACCACCTGACTGCAAGCTCTGTCCCAACGTTTTGTTAATTTTACAATGTCATCTTCCATTTTCTTCACATCAGGATGTTTGATTTGTTTGGGACGACTCTGCTCTGTTGTACGTCGAACTTCTACTGCATCTTCGTTCAGTTGGTCAAGTACTGGTTGACCTCTCTTTACCTCCCCCTGTAAGTCCTAAGTATAAAAAAACAAAAAATAAGGGTTAGGCCAGAGTTAACCAGCAATAATTTCCATATGTTGTAAAACAATAGTGAACCCACAGTAAAATATGTCTACTGTGTTCTCAGTTCATAAGAAAAACAAGTAAATCCCAGACAAGAGTTGATCACTGTTTGTTCCCCTTTGTAAGTTCTCAGTTCATATAAAGAAAACAGTAAGTCCCAGACAAGTGTTGATCACTGTTTGTTCCCCTTTGTAAGTTCTCAGTTCATATAAAACAACAGTAAATCCCAGACAAGAGTTGATCACTGTTTGTTCCCCTTTGTAAGTTCTCAGTTCATATAAAGAAAACAGTAAGTCCCAGACAAGAGTTGATCACCTTTTGTTCCTCTTTGCAAGTTCTCAGTTCATATAAAGAAAACAGTAAGTTCCAGACAAAGGTTGATCACTGTTTATTCCCCTTGTAAGTTCTCAGTTCACATAAATAAAACAGTAAGTTACAGCTAAGACAACTTTTGATTACAATTCGCTTTGTTTAATTTATACAAAACCATAACTAATTCCAAGCTCAATTTTTCAGTTATAACATGCTGTTATTATGTAGTATTAAATATATAATTAACTATATTAGGTAACTTGGCTCACTGTTAGGGTTTTAAAGCCCAACTCATTATCATTGAAAGTTTTTATTCCAACTTACTCCCAGATGGTTGTGAATCCTCTGAAGTGTCTCCTCATCAGATGGCATGGTGTCATAATCTGCCAGTTGCAGTTCCAACTGACTGACAATATGATTTGTTTCATCTATTTCATTAAGAGCAATCTCCACAGCTTTAAGCCTAATAAAAAGTTACAAACAGGAGGTTCATCTTATATTACCTTTAATGAGACAAAACTACAGGAATGATGGAATGTATCATTAAGTAATTATAGCAATACTGTAGAGCTTACAGTAAAAGACAGGAATGATGGAATTTGTCTTTAAGTAACTATAACAATATTGTAAGCTTACAGTAAAATACAGGAATGAAGGAATTTATCTTTAAGTAACTATAACAATACTGTAGAGCTTACAGTAAAAGACAGGAATGAAGGAATTTGTCTTTAAGTAACTATAACAATATTGTAAGCTTACAGTAAAATACAGGAATGAAGGAATTTATCTTTAAGTAACTATAACAGTACTGTAGAGCTTACAGTAAAAGACAGGAATGAAGGAATTTGTCTTTAAGTAACTATAACAATATTGTAAAGCTTACAGTAAAAGACAGG